GTCTGATTTTTCAAACTCTGGGCAGCTCTTTGGTTTAATTTAGACACCAGGCAGCTTTTAATGGAGACAAACATTCGAGCGTAATTATTTCACAGAAAAAAGTCAGCAAAATATTGCACTGACGCCAAACACTGGATTACACTTTTAGTATGCTGCATTTTAAACAGGGGGGACAACAGTCAGCTTTTAATTCACGATTGAACTTTAGAGTGTAATTATTTCACAGAAAAAGACAGATAAATAATGTATTGACTCCATATGCAGTATTAAAAAAAATATTTGCTTACATTTTGAACAGGAGAGACACCAGGAAGCTTTTAATCAACATTAGAGTGTATTATTTCACAAACACATCATCAAAATATTGTACTTAGTCCATGCACAGTGTTTAAGCACTTTTAGTACTGTGTAGCTACTTTGCCACCCTGCAGCAAACACTAAATTATGCAGTTGAGGATCAGGAGTGGAAAAATTATGTGTGGCACCTTTGCAGTGCCTGAGCACTGGTCAGCTGTGGTGGAAGGAACTGGTAATGGTGTAAGGTATAACAATGTTTTTGGGGCAAGATTCTAAGAACAAAATGTATTCAATTAGCATGAGCAGCAGGGGTTTAGAACTCATTACCGAGCAACTGTGTCGGGGACAGACGGATTTGTTTCTCTGACATATCGCACGCTGCACTGAATGCCCTCTCTGAGCTTGATTATGTACTGGGAAAGCTCTGTCTAGTGGTCTTCCCTTAACAAGCAAAACTCAATGGGGTTCTCAGTTTGAAGGTTGCTTCCGCCTTGGACCCCCAGGATCAGGATCTGAGGCACATTGACTATTAAAGAGGATCCTGCCATCTTGTGGAATGGCAGCCAAAAGGTTCTTCCACAGGACCTCTTCCCGCTGGTGTATTTTTTGCTTCCTCTTGGATGTCAGCATGAGATCTGCCATTATATCCAAAAGGGTAGCCAACCAATAATGGTCCCTCTCCTTTATAGCCTGAATGCTGGGGTCCTTGCACAGGCAATGCAGCATGAATGTTCCCCTTCGACACAAACTGACTGCAGCAACGGACCCTGGGGCCTCTGTTCTGCTGAAGACAACAGTAACCCTATTGATCTTACCCCACCCATGTACAATTCCTGGCATTTAAAATGGCTAAAACATAGTCCCTAGAAGAGTTCTCCATGTCCTCCTCCTCACTGCCAGCACCCCAAACCCTCCTCCTTGTACTGCTCCTATGTCTGCTGCTTCCGCACAGGGGTAGGGTTATTTGCGGACATGTGCACAACATGAAAATTCTTTTCAGACGAAATTAATGAAAAGGGAAAAAACATTTTTTCATCATTTGATGAAACAAATAATTATTCTGTTTCGGATTCGGAGGCAACGAATCCGAAACAGCGCACATTTAAAAAACAGAATGCGCAGTGGCCATTATGGAGGCAGGGTGCATGACGTCAAATGACGCCGGTGTCAGGTGACATGATATGCATGTATAGGCGCTGGCATCTTCGACACATATTTTTAGTATATTCTGGAATATAATAATTGGTTATTTCGGATGAACCGCCAAATCAATAGGATTTGCTGAATCATTTCGTGATTCAGCAAGTTCATCCGGATCCAAATGCACATCTCTACTTCCTCCTACTGATGTGCTCCCAGTGCTTAGTTGATTACACCATGGAGTGTGTGCTACAGCAGCTGCAACACCAGAATGATCACATCGCTGATTCCAGCCTTGTCGCAGCTAACCATTCTGATCGCTTCTTTGAATGGCAACAAGATCAATCAGGAGCCACTGATGTGGAGTAAAGAACCCCAGATCCTCAGACCCTGTTCTGTTCATATGCCCAGCCAAGAGCTTACTGATGACATGCTGCTGCAGCTTGGCCAACATCAAGTTTCAGCTTGTGGGTGTATCACGTATTAGGCAGTTGGCAGTCAGCTTGCGATGTCGAACTGTGGTCAGGCGAACACGTTGTGGGTATGACCACATAAAATGGCTGCACACTCTTCTGGCCTGCTGCAGGACATCCTGGATGTCAGAGTGTACCTAACTAGGAATTGCTGCACTACCATGTTGAGTATGTGTGCCAGGCAAGGCTCCTGTGTGAACCTTTCCTGCCAAAGGGCAAACAGCAGGTTGGTGCTGATGTCACACATGACCTTACTTGGTGTAAGAAGGCTTGGGGTCAGCCAACTCTTAAAGAACTGACAGAATCTTTGGCCCAGTGTGGCTCCTCTCCCCAACGCATACTAACTACAAAACAACATGGCAGTGTTGACTGGTGGCTCTTGGTTGCTTAGGAGGGACTGGCAAGTGGTTAGGTGGTTTTGACGAGTCACCAGATGAGGCCATTGTGGAGGAGGGGGTAGAGGTGACTGAGCTGTCACCATCATCACGGTGCAGGACACGGGACAGCACCACCATCTCTATCGATGTGCCCTGTGCTGCATCCTTCCCAGCAGCCAGCACAGTTACCCAGTGCACATAAGAAATATAACCTTACAGTACATAACACAGATTAGCAGCACAGTTAAACAGAAACTCTCCCTGCAAACAACATGCTATCAGCTGTCCCTATCTACAGCAAGTCTCCAAACACACACTGGCAAAACGTTTCTGGAAACTTTGACTTTTATAGGGAGGGGACTGGCACATAAGAAAACCTCCATTATTGACCCTTCTAAGCCACATTTCCACAGTACTAGGTTTCCGTTAGGTAGATAGGAAGTTGACTTTCATACACAAGGGCAATGTCATGCACCACACTGTTGTCATGTGATCAGATTTAAAGTAATGGGTTCAGTGAATGTGAATTATGGCTACAACTAATGTATTATGCTGAATATAAACAAAATGATTTCTATTACTGGACACAAAATACTATTACTGTCTGTACTGATGTATGTGTAAACACATGTACTGTAATTACAGATAGTATAAGTGCAGTTAGGGTTGTGCAAAGACAGCCCCAAACAAAAGTTGTGCTTTTACGGGATGGATGAACCTACAGAACATAAACTCTGTGATAGCTGACATGTTTACAGCCTATTGATAAAGAGCACAAAAGCTAATGATCGCCAATGGCCTTTTTCCCCCCGAGGCAATACATAAGTCAGAAGTTTTTTTTCTTGAAATGTCTTGAAAACTTTTTCACTAAAGTATGTGTTATGCAAATCCATGGAAACAAATTAGTGATTTTACAAAAAAAGCAATGTAATAAAATAAATGTTTTTCACAGTTTTACACATGAAGGGGGCCATTCTCTGATGGGAGGCCAGTATCTAGTGCTACCCAACTGCAGTCTAAAGAAACAGGGCAATTTTGTACTGACCGCTCATTCCTCTAAAAAAGATTCTTTATAGGTAACATCTTTTTGTGTGATCAAATCAATCTTATTTTGTGGGCTATTTTTTATAACATAAAGGATTTTTCACATTTCTGTTTTTTATTTTAGGTTAAATATTAAAATATTGAGTTAAAATGTTATATAATATGCATGCATATTTCCTTCATGTACCTATAAGCATCATTTCAGTTTTGTCTGGTACCTTCTCTTTCAGACAAAAGATCTTTCATTCGTCTGGTGAGCAGCGTTCTATGTCTATGGCTGATCTTTGTCATGAAAAATCACAAGTTGAACATGCTTTCCCATTTACGATGCTGATAAAAAGAATATAAGCTGTGATGGCAGATTGACTAACATGTACTGAATATGGAATGTTTATTTGGGTAAAGGGGTAATTGGGGAAGGTCTACTTGTTTAGTTGTGATCAGTTTCTAGTGTTTTTGATGAGCTTTTATATCACCTTTTAACAGTTTAATGCACTGAGACTTTAAAATAGCTAAATCCAAATGATTTTTGCTGTATACTGTAATTATAGTCGAATGTACTTTCCATATTTTTTAATGCAAAATGTTGCATTATAAATGATTGATATCATTTCATTCAGATATACAGTATGTAAATTAGTAATTCTGCTGATGTGAAGAATTTGTATGCAAATTTTAACACATTTTTTGCCCAGCTCTTCTTTATTGCTATTACCTGAAGCCATATCACCTCTAAATGACCTGATTTAGAAGTTTAAAAAAAATAATGTCTACTCCTAACCCTCCTGTATTGAAATTGTATTCTAACTATACTGTCTCCCTCAACTTTGTAAAGTGCTGCTCAAACTGTTGGCACTATATAAATCCTGTATTATAATAATAATAAGAAGAAGAATAATAATACAAAAAATACTATGCAATAAACATAAACTATCTGTTCCGAAAAATGCGACTGTTTGAGGCACAACCCCTGCTTGAGTATCTGTTATCAGCAAATGCTGTACCTGTTGTTTCACTTTTTAAAAATAAAATACAAATATTTATAAACACTATAAACACAAAGTTCATTGTATTACTTAATTCTATATTTTGGTTTTTGATTATTTTTTGGGTTTTTTGCTAATTCTATGATTTGTTTTTTGAGACAGCCTTGTAAAACTGAAGTGCCATTTATTACATAGTAACCATTTATGCCTATATGCTTACACACACCTTAGACAGTAGCAGTCCATCATCATAATAAGGCAATGATTGGGTTGAGAAAATAGAAATTGTCAGCAGAAAGAAAAAAGAAAGAAAAACGTTTAAGATCGATAATAAGTACCTGATCTATAATCAGTGAAGCCTTGAACTACTTTTAGGTGTGACTCTCTGTGTACCACTTTACACGTATTATGCTTGTGCTCATTTTAGGTAGTAGTTGCCACTAACAGCTTAACAAATTGACGTTCAACTTTGACCTGTGATCCCTCACTCAATTCTCCCCCAGGTAGCATTGTGTTTGAAGCCTGTGCACCTTACACAGGGAAGTCCTGAAGAAGATAGAGAGGGGTAGATGATAGCAGAGTTGAGTGAATCCTGTGGATGGATATAGAGGGAGGGGTGGAAAGTGACTTCAGGGAGTGGCTGTGCATGCACTATCCAGATCTACTACAGACACAGAGGAGAGATTCTGCCAGAGACATCTCTGAAGAATCTGCTACAGGCTCTCTTGTCAGGACATCGTAGACTTGTGGTGACCAGGTGACCAGGTGACCAGGACAGCGACACAGAGAGATGCACTGGGAGAACAGGCGAGGATAGCTGGACCTAAAGAATTCCACTCATCATGGGACACACTGATAAGCTAAGAGGAAGCACATAAACAAGAAACCAACACTGGAGAGAAAGGTAGGACAATAAAGGGCACATAGGGGCATCCCTGAACAAGCTAAGGTCAAAAGAGCAATGTTATAATGCTCTAAAAGTAGACGCAAACCGTCAAAAATTCACAGACGGTTTCTAATAATGCTGCCTACTGATATATTGTTATGACATTATGTAATATATAGTGCTTCCGCTCAGCCGGTGGCATTACGAAGACATGCCTCAACATTTCATACACATGTGGTCACCATATTAATATCATTTCCAGGGACATTGTTGCTGAGCCAGAATATCTAAGCTTGCTAACCTTCATTCTATCTCCACAGAGCTCAGTTATTTCTACAGCAATCATGGTATTGTTATTAAATGTGAAAACAATAGCATTATTGCCCTCTAATGAGTGCTAGGATAGGATGCTAGCAAATGCTGAACTGCAGTATTCACAATTATTAACATTTTAAAATTTCCAGGGACACTTTATTGCTTTAAATAAATCTATAACACCCTAAATATTGTGGCAAAGCAAAGAACTACTGGACCAAGTTTTGAATGTTTATTAAATTGGTGGCTTAAATGTTGCTCTTCAATAAACATATAAGACCGGACATTAATAAGTGACGGTAGGCTATCACTCAGTAAAAGAAGCATTTGTATGCGACATTTGGTCAGTTTTGAAAATCAGGGGCATTTTCAGGGGCAAAACATTTCCAAGCCAAGCTAGGAACTGTCTGTACAAACCAGAAACATTTGGCAAGCAGGTCAATGTTTTCTAAAGGGTGATTGAATTTGTATTGGATGGAAATGGATTGAGGTACAATGTATGCGGGGGTGATGTTACCTATCAATATTGATGGATCAAGATGAGGTCACCAATATGAAAATAAATTGGATGTAAGAATTTAATAAACAGCGCTGCTCTGTAGATTTATCCGCGATTGATGGAGATGGCAGTTGCAGTGTCAGTGAAGGCTGTTCATGTTCAGTTGAGATGCTGGCAAGAACACATAGAAAATAGATCCAGCCACTGTATACCCTCTGTCATTATACTATAAACTGGGAATAAGGTGGCAAGAACACATAGAAAAAAGGTCCATCACTGTATAACCTCTGTCATAAGAATATAAGCTGGGAATAAGGTGGCAAGAACACATAGAAAATAGATCCAGCCACTGTATACCCTCTGTCATCATACTATAAACTGGGAATAAGGTGGCAAGAACACATAGAAAATAGATCCAGCCACTGTATACCCTCTGTCATCATACTATAAACTGGGAATAAGGTGGCAAGAACACATAGAAAATAGATCCAGCCACTGTATACCCTCTGTCATCATACTATAAACTGGGAATAAGGTGGCAAGAACACATAGAAAATAGGTCTAGCCACTGTATACCCTCTGTCATTATACTATAAAATGGGAATAAGGTGGCAAGAACACATAGAAAATAGGTCCAGCTACTGTATACCCTCTGTCATTATACTATAAACTGTGAATAAGGTGGCAAGAACACATAGAAAAAAGGTCCAGCCACTGTATACCCTCTGTCATCATACTATAAACTGGGAATAAGGTGGCAAGAACACATAGAAAATAGGTCTAGCCACTGTATACCCTCTGTCATTATACTATAAACTGGGAATAAGGTGTTCTCTGTATTCATGCCTGAATACAGAGAAGAAGTAGATAAACTATCATTGAGTTTTATTGAACTCTGTTAACAAACGTTCCCTGCTGTCATACCACAACAGGAGTTGTACATGGGATAGTTACTCCTGTAAGGAAGAGTTTTTTTGTTTACCAGGGGCAAATAAATAACCCTTCTAAGGAATCAATCAATCTAATCAGTCTATTTACATCTACATATCTATCTATCTATCTATCTATCTATCTATCTATCTATCTATCTATCTATCTATCAGTAAGCATGTTTTTAATTTAATTATAAATGATTGCCAGAATGATATTATGAAATTCATATCATAGATATAGACTAGCAATTTAATAAATACAAATACACCCCATAATGTAGGCACACCTCAAAGCCTCCCAGCCCCATTAATTTAGCAAGTTGGCACACACAGGGGTGAATAGGTGTGAGCGGCATAATGGTTTCTGATTCATTAACTCTCTCGGAGATTACTGTGACAGAGATTTTTTGGCTATAAGACAATGATTCAGTCAAATAAACTCAGGTTCTCATTATTAAATCCACTTTGAGATCATTGTATGTTATTTACTATCTCCGTCTCCAAAAGCCACATGTTTATGATTGAAAAAATAATCCTAAAGCTATTTAGCATTATTTAATATATGATATCTTGTTATCAGTTCATACGGATTGAGTAAGTAACTCATCATGACATAATAGTGTTCTCGTGTGCACTATATGAAATGTTCTTATTCTTATGTTTACCACTTTAGAATACTCTTCTCAGTAAATGCTTCACTGTCCCATTACAATAGATGATTCAGTACAGAGCATTGAGGGACATTACAGACGTTCCACTGATTAGGTAAGATATGTAGGTGACATTGTGACATTCAGGACTTGGACCATCCTAAAGCTTTATTTCATATTCTAGTGCTATAATTCTGATAAATCGGTACGTCTGCCCCAGAATTTTGTAGAATTTGCACCTTTTCAGGATGGAACATGCACTGCTGTGACTTTGTAGTTTCTGTGACTAATAAGTGCTATTGCAACATATTGCTCCCACAGACTGTTAGCATGTATTATTTTACTATATTCTACAACTGATTTAGGAGATGTCTGTCTATTGTCAACACAGACAACAATATTATTATAATCAGTACAAAGGAAACTGTGGTGTTTGTGGGTTAATCATCAATATCAGCTCTGTGTATGTTACATATTACACAGGGTGTAACCAGACAAGTAGAAACTTTCATACTGCGCTGTGTAATGTGCCTTCTACAAGGCTGCTTATCCTGTGCATCCAAACACTAAACTTTATTACAGCTGGGGTATAGATTTCATTGTAAGGCACAATTCAAATACAAGCAAAATGAATGTGTATATTACAGTAGTTGTCATCGTGTAGACCAGCAGCAGTCAAGTGTTTAACAAGTGTGCATGATACTATATATACACAATTGTGTGCAATAGCCCTTGAATCTATTTATTATTGGTATTTATATAGCACCAACAATTGTACGCAGCACTTTGCATAGTGCACATTCACAGCAGTCCCTGCCCTCAAGGAGCTTACAATCTAAGGTCCCTATCTCGCACACACATATTAGGGCCAATGTAGATAGGAGCCAATTAAACTACCAGCACGTCTTTGGAGTATGGTAGGAAACCAGAGTCCTGATTGGGATTTTACATCGGGGACACTCAGTGCTGCAAGGCAGAGTTGCTAACCACTAAGCCTCTGTGCTGCCCAAGTAACCATAGGACCACACAATTTGCTTTCTATTGGAAAACAGGCTTAATTCAGAAAGATAAAACACCAGGATAAGGATCCTGATTATCCAAAAAGTGACAGTTATTTTCAGCCAGTCCAATTAGATTTTATAATTACAATCACATAGACTAAATAAAACTATTTATTCTTGTGTTAAAGCTTTAAAAATGGAGGTTCATGCATGTTCCGGAGGGGAAGGGACTCCCCAAAAATTAACACATTTCATTTTTAGTCTTTGCACCTGTCATTATGTGATTTGACAACTAATCAATTTTTACCAACCTGCGAGGAGTCAGCCAGAGGTGTCAGCAGAAATGATTATGTTTGTTTATGAAAATATATTTTAATGTGGTTCTGACCACCACATCATGGCTATGACTACCCCAACTGGCTACTCATGAGTTAGATTTTCCCTATATCTGATCTGACCATCAGTGTGGACATATATTTGGTTCCATTTAAGTGACACTAAACTCAGGGGTTAAATCTTAAAAATGCATTCAAGTACTTTAACTATTAACAAAAATGTATGTCATTTGTGTATCACTCGGCTGTAGATCCTCAAATCATCTCTGAATTGGTGCTGACACTCTCCTTCCTTCTGGAGGGTGGCTACTTTTGTTCCCCATGGTCCCTTTGTGTGTTGTAAGGTAGTCACCGCTCCAAGCTCGCTCCTGTGATGGACTACAATCTCAATACAAATAAGTAAACTAAACATGACATTGTAGTCCATCACAGGAGTGAGCTTGGAGCAGTGGCTACTTTATAACACACACAGGGACCATGGGAAACAAAAGTAGCCACCCTCCAGAAGGAAGGACAGTGTCAGCACAAATTCAGAGATGAATTGAGGATCTACAGCCGAGTGATACACAAATAAGATACATTTTTGTTAATAGTTAAGGTACTTGAATGCATTTTAAGATTTGTCTCCTTAGTTTAATGTCACTTTAAGAAATCCATTGTCGTGAACAGGACCTGTACCCCAACTCACTATGTTGAGGTGTTTTGAAAGAGAGACCATCATCCTGCATTTCTATTGCTTTGACTGACTTACGGTACATTTTTCCAATTAACTCAGCCTAATGGGGTCTTTTAGTAGTTCACTGCAAAACATTTGAAAGTCATGCCAAATCAATGTATGTATTTCACATGCATCTGGTGCAATTATTATTATTTATTAATTTCCCAGATATGCTTTAACTATGCTTAGCTAGGCTCACTCGCACGTTGCTCCTATATAAATGAGTTAGATTCTATATAACCCCTCCCTGAGACGCTCGCAGTCTTTGGGGACACAAACTTTAGCTGAACACCTTATGAGCAACTAGTCAGTTTTGGAACACAGCTGAAGTCTCTACACACCCTCTCCTGTATCAGTGTCAACTTGGAAGCTTACAGAGATCAGAAGGCAGCAGTATGCAAAATGTCTCAAAGCAGAACTATCACAATGTTTTCATGTCTTGTTTTCCTTTGATATCTACAATGTAATTATCCAACCCAAAAATTGCTCCACTTTTGCTTTAATTCATAATAGTAAATGAGCATGCCCTATTATAAAGAACATATAACAAGATTAAACCTGCTCTAAT